GGGGGGCGGGGCTGGCTGGCATGTGGTGCTGGGGGATTGAACCGCGGTCCCTGTGCTTTGCTAAGCTTGTTCTAAGTAGGTGCTTTAGACCACTGAGCCTTCTCACCAGCCCCTGACCTGGGATTCTGATATCATAATAAGTGATCATAATATTACTTTGAATTCTAAATACTAACTGGCTTTACATTGCTAAATGTACCTATCTCTTTTTTTTTTTTTTTTTTTTAATGTCTCCTTGTGTATTTTAGGCTGGGCTTGAACTCACAGAGATCCTCGTGCCTCAGCCTCCCTAGTGCTGGGGTTACAGGTCCAACTTATTGGTAGTGTCTGTAAGGTAATATTCCCGATGATGAGTTGCCATGCTAATACTGTATTGAGTCATCAGGGAGGGCAGAATTGCCCTGGTTTGGGTGCCAGTGGATTTAACAAAAGTTCTCACATGGAGACCTGAGGGACAACACCACCATAAATATGTAGATAGGGCTGGGCCTGGCGGCACACGCCTAAGTTGCCAGCACTTGGGATGATGAGGGGGAAGGATGGCTGGGCTGCATACCGAATCCAGGGCCCCCTGAACTACACAATGAGATCCTGTCTCTGAAAATGAACAAATGAATGAATGGATAAATGTAAGTAAGATGCCTGGCAATTCTTTGTATTTATTCCAGGAAGGAATAATTGGGTTTTAAGCACTTTTTTTCGTTTTATACCAGGGATTGAACTCAGGACCTTGCATTTATCAGGCAGGTGCTTATGCTGCTGATCTATCTCCCCAACTTTAAGCACATTTTGTATTTTCAGTGTTGGTGTATCAAACGCTGCCACTGAGCTGTATCCCACGGCCAAAACATCTGTCTGTCCTGTCCTGTCCTGTCTGTCTGTCTGTCTGTCTGTCTGTCTGTCTGTCTTTCTTTTTCTGGTACTGGAGATTGAACTAAGGACAATGTGCTTGCCAAGCAGGTGCCTATGCCACTGAGCTATCTCCCCAGCCCTTATTAAATAATTTATTATTATTTTTTCTACCGTATTTTATTCTTATTTCAAGTGTGCCAACTGAAGATATTAAAGTATTATTTTTCTCAAAAATTTTCAGTGATACTCATATCTCAAGTTGTGATGAATTATCTTTTGATATTTTAATAATTACATCACATATGCTCATTGTAAAGTTAGAATATATTTTCAATTTACATTTAGTGTTTTTTAAAAAATTTTATTTATTTATGTGTGTGTGTGTGTGTGGCCAGCTCAGCCCACCAGGGGGCGGGGCTGGCTGGCATGTGGTGCTAGGGGATTGAACCGCGGTCCCTATGCTTTGCTAAGCTTGTTCTAAGTAGGTGCTTTAGACCACTGAGCCATCTCACCAGCCCCTACATTTAGTGTTTTTTAATCATGTAGGAACTTAAAAATAAAGGTATGGCTGGTTTCCTAACTTTAGGCATTGCTCTTTAGCATTTAGTAATTTTTTATATTTATAAATCAAGTATTAATTCTACTAAATGCTAGTCACTATGCTAAGTAATGGGGGTATGTTAAGCTTAGTTGCTATGCTAAGTAAGATGAGTACGTCCTTACTTTGGGAAACTTGGAGTTGTATTACAAATAGCATTTTGTTGCAAGCAGTACGAAATGCTCTGAGAGAGATGAGGTCAAGTGAGGAAGTATCAGGGTCAAGGAAATGGTGGCTTAGGTTTTGGGCCAGGCTTGCTGCCTCAGTGGATTTGGCTGACCAGTGAAATGGGTGGTCTGAAGGACTACACGGAAGTCTGCTCTGTGAGAATCTTAGGTTGTTGGAATGCCGTGTATTCCTAACTGAATGGTGACTTTCAAGAGCAGACCTTGCTTTGTTCATAATGCCTCGTGACCACTTGCGGAGGTGCTGAGTTTGAGGCCCATTAATTTTATTTTTATTTATTTTTTTTGAGGCCCATTCTTTTTATTTTTATTATTATTATTTTTTTTATTTCAAGTCATTCGAGTTGTATTTCCTTTATTTGCAGCTGTTTTGATCTTTTTTTCATAATTTTATTGATAAACAGATAGGAATAGACAGTTTCAAATCAAATCGGTAGAGAGGCCGATTTTAAAGTAGTAGATACTTTATAATGAACCATTGTTAAATGATGCATGAAAGAAGTGTGTTAATGAGGGTTAAAAAGATAAACTCATATATGTATTCATACATGTAAATGTATAAGAAACTGTTGCAGTGCTGAAGTCTTTTTTTTT